TCGATGAAGCAGGCACATACTTCTTCCTTGACATCGAGAACTCTCTCTGAAATTATTCTCATAACTCCGATGGCATCTCTGGTTCCTCTTCCTCTCCTGAATCCAAATTGGTCGTCTCCCATCACTTCCTCTATCTTCTTTTCTAGTCTTTTAGTCAGTATTCCAGTCATTATCTTCGCTGCATGTGAGATTAGGCTGATGGTCCTGTAATCGCTGCACTTATTGGAATTCTTTTTCTTCTGTAATGCGATCATTGTTACTTCCAGAAAGTCTTCGGGCCACTCACCGGAGGTGTATATCTTGTTAACGAGTCTAGTAAGAACCTTCACTCCTTTCTCTCCAAGTTCTTTCAATAAGTCCGATGGGATTTCATCATCTCCCGTAGCTTTTCTTCTTCTCATATCCTTAATGGCCCTTTCTACCTCGCTCTTCAGTATCTCTGGACCTTTGTCGTCCTCCTCTACTTCTTCTTCCGGCTCCAATTAAAATTAAATGGTTTTTATCACCTTCCTCTTCCATCCATGGGCTTCAGATGAATCCTTTACTTCTTAAACTGCCACCTGTATTTTGCTCAATTTCTTCTCCATCAGTCTTAGACATTGCTCTGTTTCAGATATTTCGTCATTGGTTATTTGTTTCAAGAAGCCAGAGAGAAAATTTAGTTAGAAAAAAATATTTGGTGTTAATGAGATGTAATGTTTGCTTCATTGGTATATGTGTATACAACTGGGTTATGTTACAAAATGGATGTCTTATTGAAATGTTTGCCAAAACTCTGTCTGAACCTAGATAGTACTACTGTCTTGAAGTTTTGCATAGGCCTTTCTTCATCATTTAATGGTTAGTATCATTATTCACGAGGTCCTAGGAGTCTGGTATCCTTAAGATCTTCATGGTTTTTCTAAATTTCTCTAGAAGTTGCCAAAAGAACCCACAACATTATTTCAGACTTCTCATTGAAATCATCCATTTGATTCTACATAACTTATGTAGTTGAGAAAGTGTCACTAAGTAAACAGAAACAAATAGGACCCATCTTTCATTCCATACTTTAATGTAAAAGAAAATAGGCAGTACTAACACTGTAAAAATTGTTGTCCCACTGTTACACAAATTAATTAAACATGAATTCCAATGACAAATCAAAATCAGCATCAATAGAGGCATAAATCATTTGAAGAAAGGATATCAACCTCAGACTAATTTGTTAAAGGGATGATAATGGCAAATTGCTTGCAGATCCAATCAAAATTTTGAATAGGTGGAAACATTTCTTTAACCAGCTCTTAAATGTTCATGAGATTGATGATGTTAGCCGGATTAAAATACATACGGCTGAACTGTTTGTGCCAAAACCTAGTTTAGATGCAGTTGAACTAGCCATTTTAAAGTTGAAATGATCAGGTATTGATCAAATTCCAGCAGAATTAATTAAAGCAGGTGGCAAAGGGTTGCATATGAAAATCCATAAGCTTATTCAGTTAATTAGGGACAAGGAAGAGATGCCACAACAATGGAAGGAATCCATAATTATTCCTATTCAAAAAAAGTGGGACAAGACTGAGTGTGGTAATTACCAAGGAATTTCTCTGCTATCAACCTTGTACAAAATTCTATCAAACATTCTTCTAGCGAGATTAACACCATACGTGAATGAAACTATCGGGGATCATCATTGTGGGTTCAGACGTAACAGATCAACAATTGATCAGATCTTTTGTATCCATCAGATTCTTGAGAAAAAAAGTTGACAGTGGAACCACGGTTCCGGAGAATCTGACGTAAATACGTCTCTGTAACATAACAATGCACGAAGGAGTTCATATAAAAGCTGACAATTGTTGTCGGTCCATATTTACACATTGTTGATATGGATCTTTCACAATTTTTGTTACACATCTTCGTTACGCCTTTTTGTCGAATGACCCTTCCGTATAGACGTATTTACGTCAAAATGGGAGTACAGTGGGACCGTGCATCAATTATTTATAGATTTCAAAAAAGCCTGTGACTATTAAGAGAGAAGTGCTATACAATATTCTCATTGAATTTGGTATACCAAAGAAGCTAAACAATCTGACAATGGTCTTCTAGGTTATGACACCATGTAACGCGGATTATATACATAACGGAGGAACCTGCTGTATGGCCTTCAGGGTATCCACAACCGAGTGACCACTATCTAAATTTTAACAGCCGTAAAAACCTCATGCATAGTATTAATTTATCCTGTGACGTAATCTGTTACATTGGCAATCTATTATAACATTTATAATAGCTCTATTATTGTTATTGAAGTCCCATTCTTTAAACTATTTTATTTATTTACGCAGATTGTTTCCTTTACTTAGGGTGTTAATTTATTATTATTAGTGGAGGGTTGAAATTAATTACGATGTCAGTGGCCAATGGTCTAATAGCTTGTAACACATATGATTTCTTGACGTCATTTGAAAACACAAAGCACGTGTTTCCGTAATGAAATGAAAGAGGGATTTTGATTGGCTGCAGCAATTATAGAAACGCAGTGTAGTTGTCGTTTGTTTCATCTTTCACGTTGCGTGTACGAGTTCATTGCTGGTCAAGTACGAGATACAGGTAAATGTATTAATTAAAAATTAATTATAGTCCATAGTTTAGTGTTTTGTAATATAAAATGCATTACTTTATAGCTGCAGAGTGTACAGACAATTAATTTGTAAAAACGTTTCCGGAACATGCTAAAACTTGTCCAGCAAACGCAAATGAGGTGGCACTGAACAGCCTGCAGTTAGAAAGTTGCGAGCGCATTTGCGTGATATGACTCATAATTTCTGAAGAGTAAGTATGTACTGAAACATTGCTGTTCATTTTTCAGATTACGAAGTTTCCGTGTGAATAACATACAAATCGAAACGTTTGAAAAAGGAATATAAAACTTCACTATATGAGCTGTAACTAATCCATCTTCGTGGAATACGGTTGTGATAATTATTACCGATATCGAAGAGGATACTTCCTCTACTAATATTTTTTAGTCGGGCTGAGTACCAAGTACGTAGCCTTGCACAGAGTTTTGTTGCAATACTTATGTGTGTCACGCTGCAGGTATTGCTTGTCCTTATTCCCCAAATCAACAGTAATAATTATGCTAGACGAGATTTCGGCGGCGGTGATCTTTTTAGCCCGCCTGATCGAGAGAAGCGAAAACTTTAACCAAGAACAGTTAGAAGATTTCAAAGAACATCTGTCACAGTTGCTAGTGGAACGTTTTGAAAACCATTGGTTCCCAGACCAGCCATGCAAAGGACAAGGTTATCGCTGCATCAGGGTAAATGAACGGGACCCCCGGGATGCTACCTTGGAGCGAGCAGCAATTGCTTGTGGATTCAGATATGAGGACCTGAAGCTACCAGTTGAGTTAACAATTTGGGTTGATCCAAATGAAGTATGCTGCAGGTAACTATAAACTTTTTTAACACAAGTAGTTGCTTATGTGTGTAGGTTGAAAAACACTAGTGTTTTCATAGTTTCACAACATGCTGTGGGATAGTCCACTGTTTATATACAGCAAGTGTAGAAATTCTTGTTCGTTTCTGTAGCTGGAGTTTAATGTTTAACATTTAACATTTATGGGGTAGTATAATGACTGACTGTGGACTGGATGAGTGGGATTTGGTCCCAAGCAGAGGCAAAAAGATTTAACTTTGAGCCTCTGCAACTAGACTGGCTCTCGGACACTAAGCTTTCTTTGCAGTGGATACCGGGGGTCTTTTCCCCCATGAGTAAAGCATGTCTGGGGCAAGACACTGACCACTTTTCCCCATCTAGTGCCAAGGTCAAGAATGAGGAGAAGCTATACCTTCTCTGCTGCACCCAAGCACCTTCACAGTGTTTACCAGGGACATCCTTACTTGTACTTCAAAACTTTCTCATTCATATGGCCTGCATTGACCAATGTTTCAAACAGTTAAGAGATAGTGCATCTGCCTTGAAGTTGTGTTCTGTGCCACTTGATATTGTTTCTTTATTGGAGAAAATTACCTTTTTCGTGCCATACTGAATTTGAAATTGATTCTCTTCAGCAGTTCATACGCAGTTGTTCATTTAAAATGTGGAAGATCAGAATCATTAATTGCAGATAGAATTTGTTTTATTATTGGTATTGAATTATTGAAATAGCATTTTTTTGTATAGAATTCACTAAGCATACGTTTATATTGTATATATTTATAGTCCTTCAAATTGTGTTGTTGATGTCATATTTAGATATTGTGTATTAAAATCAATTACGTGTATGTAATTTAGCTGATATGTTAACATACAGAAATTGTGCATAGATGGTGCTTTTTTAGAAATGTCAGTTTCGCAGAAGCTACTGGCATTAATGTTTATGCTGCTATTGCATCTTGATCCAAATGTGGCTAGTTAATAGCTTTAAATAGAATCAGAAAATTAATTGAATGAAAGCATCTTTGTTATATGTACTTAGTGAACTAGTGTTGATTTTTTAGTGTCTCATTTTCATACAATTGTGTTACTGGTGGTTTGTATTCATAAATGGTTGTTGTAATCATGTTTGTAGATTCGTCTACTGATACACACATGGGGTTCCTGCTCATATCCTGTTATAACGTACTAGGTAGCAAGGTGCACACATTGCAGTATCATTAAGTGATGCTGACATAGGGGAAAAGTGACTGCTGTATTTTCAGTCAGTATTAGGTTAGTTAGGCCATCATAATTTAGATATATTTAGATTGGTTAATATTTGTTATGTATATTGTTATGTGTGATGGAAAATGGCAAACATTTATACAATTTTACGACTCATTGGTTAACAATAAAGAGGAACACAGAAGTTTTACTAGAAGCTAGTAGAAAGGTGGGGCTAGAAGTAAATTCAGAAAAAAATCTAAGTACATGTTAGTATCTCGTCGTCAGCAGACAGGTGGGCAAAATCATATTAGGGTGGCTAATAAATCTTTTGAAAGTGACAAAGTTCAAGTATTTGGGAACAATAGCAAATCAAAATTATATTCATGAGGAAATTAGGAGGAGAATAAATTCTAGAAATGCTTGTTCCTTCTCCATTCAAAATATTTTGTCTTCCTGTCTCATTTCTAAAAACTAAAAGATTAAAGTACACAAAATAATTTTGCCTGTTGTTTTGTATGGGTGCGAAACGTGGTGTCTCACTCATGAAGGAACCTAGGTTGCAGGTGTTTGATAATAGGGTGTTGAGGAGGATATTTGGGGTATGGAGAAAACTGCATAATGATGAGCTTAAAAATTTGTACTTCTCCCCCAGTATTGTCAGGGTGATTAAGTCGAGAAGAGTGAGATGGGCAGGGCATTTGGCGCGCATGGATGGGACACGAGGTGTGCACCAGGTGTTGGTTTTGAAGCCTGAGGGGAAGAGACCGCTGGGGAGACCTAGACGTAGATGGGAGGATAATCTCAGGCGGGATCTATGGGAGATAGGAGTTGAAGGAGACTGGATTTTGTTGGCCCAGGACAGGGTCCGGTGGAGGGCTTTGATTAATTTGGTGATGAACCTTTGGGTTCGGTAAGCCATCTGGTTAGTTAATTTGGCTAATAGTGATGGACTGGGGTACATTGAAAGTTATTTGTCTCATTCATTTCCATATATAGGTTGTGTATAACCTAGAAAATTCCCTCCAGTATTTTAGTATATCAATGCAAGAATTGACTTACAGGTCAGTCGGTGAAGTCCCAGTTTTAGAGGAGGAAAGAAATGAATACAAATGATTTAATGGATGAATTCATTCTGTTTCCATCCTTATTACAGTTATTTCTCAAATTATGCAGTATATGCATTTATAAAACATGCTTAAATGAAGACCTAATTTTCCATAATACTGTTGGTCTCATAGATTTTATGTGCTGAGCATACTTTACACAAACTGAATTCCAGAATTTAAAAATAGTGTTTCAGCTTTGTACATTTCAGTGTGTTAAACTTTGTCTGTTGTGTAGGATTTGGTGTTCTCATACCAATTAATATGGGAGAGGAAGGGTCCATTGCCATTGCATTAGTAAAATAGCCAAAGTTAAAACAACACCTGATGATATCCCAGTCTTGCTCGCTATCTTGCATAGGCTGTAAACTATTTTGACTTTCATCTCGTCAAATTTCACAGCTGTCGAAGAGGCTCATTGCCTTTACAAGCACATATCCCACAGCCATCAATGTATGTTAATAGGTTAAAGACTGTTCCTGCTTGCTTATTTCAGTTTCTATAGTATGAACATTCACCCCTTGCAGCTAGCAGATCCAATCAGCTTTTCTGAAATAGCTGATTTGTATTAAACGTGGTTCAGATATGACCTGGGGCAGCTGGCCGTCCTAACCAGTATGTTGTAGTTTTCATTAATTTCTGGACAGTCGTGTTGGTATTACCTTTATATAAGCCAAGATTGTTTCCTGACCAGTTTTTTCCAGATCACTGTACATAGTTGTACTGTCTCATTCATTACCAGATAACTGTATACCTTATTTAGTATAATGTATTAAAAAAACATAGTTTGTAATTTTTGTGATTTCATAGGTTTGGGGAACATAGGGGATCATACTGCACACTGGCCTCATTTTGTGATAAGGAAAACATCACCACCATCAATAAGAAATTGGAGAAGTTTGGCACCATCGAGTCAAAATTACAGGTGAGGCGAGATGTTGATGGTTGCTGCTATGTTGCCCTTGACACATGAAACTGGATTCTGAAAACAGTCGATTGCTTTTCAGACGACTCCGTTGAATACAAGTAACCAGCATCAGGCCAATGGGAAGAAGGGCCACGGTGGAGGCAGTCCTAAGCAGAACAAGTCTGGTTCAAGGCCTAACAAGAATTGGGGAGGTCATAACGGAAGTTTAGGCTTTCCCCACTCTCTTCAGTCTTGGTACAGCCTGATCCCTCATCAATGGCTGCCACCTTCACCGCCTCCATACCACCACCCGCTTCTCAGGTCACCACCTGGAGGAAAATGGGGCACTCATGTGCCTGGTCAGAGGTACTACTGGCAAAGCAACAACCCTCATAACCACAGTCACCACCACAAGGCTGCACTGAAGGTTTAGCTGGCAGGCTGTAGCTTGTAAGATGCACCATACAATGAATGTAATATATCGCATTTTAAATCAGCTTCATGAATAAGTGGGGTGTGAGTTGTTGATGAGTTTGTGAACTTGGTTAGCTTTTACAATTGTACTGTACCCACTGTACTCAGCCACAAATTATTAAGTTTATTAATAATTGTGAACTGTACAGTCTTCAGATTTATTGGTATTTAAATTGTAACAGGGACTTGGTGCATTTTACATAACTGTTGCTAGCTGGTAATTCATATTACACAGATTTAACAGTAGCATTATAACACTGTGTAGGTTGACAAAATGATATTTGCTTTTCCTTTTTTTATGGTAGGAACCAAACTTGACAACAAATGATAGGTCCTGTGTTCAGAAGTTTTCATTATTCTTTTGTCAGCTGGTGCATATCAAGTTTTCACAGTACGAATTTAGGACCTAAGTAGCGTGGCGATGATAACTGGGTGTTCTATGTAGCTTAATATCACGAAACCTTCCCTCATATTGATTGTCCGCATCCATAAAAACTACTTATGTGCACAAATAAATGGGATTTTTCTGCTAGAGGTAAAAATATTCATCATGGCATTTACAGAATAATGAAGTTTTGTTTAATGTGATCAGTTCTTGTGTGTAAATTGTAAAATTAAAATTGTAGTGCTATACTGAAATGCATTACATTAAAGATTGCCCATGTTTAAAAAATATGTCTTGTCTAAAAGTTTCCAGCAGTAACACAGCACAGAAGGTGAAATTGTTTTGTCCTTATTTGTGGCTGTGAATACTGTTTCAGGTGTTTTTTTCCCCAGTGGTTCTTGCATCAGAATTTTCTCCAGTTTACTGCCGAACATTATTTTTAATTACAGCTGCCGAGGATTATGTTTACGGACCTTAGATTTTCTTCAGTTTATATTTTATTACTTGAGTTTTGTTGCATATGCACAGAATTGTGGAAATGTCTTTAGAACTATGAAATTGGTGGAAACCACAGTAATACTCATTTCTCTCTGAAATTCTGGTCAATTATGAGGCAACCAAATTAAAGGGACCACTGCTTAGAGCTCAGTTCAGGTTACCTTTAGCACTTTCCACATCAAAAGGATGAACATTCCAGATAGGCCATTCCCTGCAGTTTTCTTTTCTTTATATCTTATGCATTATATTACTTGATAAGTTATTTTTTTTATTTTCAGAGTTTGGTTGCTTTAATTACAGATTCTTCCAAGTATAAAACTAATTTGAAGAATACCTACATCTTAACTGCCATTTGTGATAACAAATGTTAACACATTTCATATTCTTAAAAACTTGCATACCATGTAGTGTATTGGAATATAAATCATGCATACAAACGGTACTGTTTACGCTTTGAAGGACACTAATGCCAAACGTGTTTTGACCTCAAGAGGTCATCATAAGATGGCAAAACAAATTAATTCATATAATACAAATAAAAAAATATTATGGTTTTGTACAGAGCATAAAAGGTTTGTACTTTAAAAAACCATACTTATGTAACACATTACTGGACGTTGATTGCACATGAGTTGATGTATTAAATTGAGCACTTGGCCTCTATGTCCACCGGCCTGATTGCCGTTGTTGGTCTATGGTGAGCCGTGGTTGTGTCATCTGTGCCTCTGTTGTTAAACTGACAGTAATGCCCACTCATTGTAGAAGTTCACAGGCACAGACAACGCAACCACGGCTCACCAAAGACCAACAACGGCAATCAGGCCAGTGGACATAAAAGCTAAGTGCTAAATTTGATACATCAACTCATGTGCAATCAACGTCCAGTAATGTGTTACATAAGTATGGTTTTTTAAAGTACAAACCTTTTATGCTCTGTACAAAACCATAATATTTTTTTATTTGTATTATATGAATTAATTTGTTTTGCCTCCGATGATGAACTCTTGAGTCGAAACACATTTGGCATTAGTGTCCTTCAAAGCGTAAACAGTTTTGTTTGTATGCATGATTTACATTTCATATTAGTGTGAAATGCCAAAGATGTTACTTGAAGGAATTAACTTTTTCTAACCAAACAAAATTCTAGATGTTTGTTAATATCTCAGTGTTACACCAATATTTTGCTTGTGCATAATGTATTGCATAGTGTCAGAATTATTTGTCATATGTAATGGGTGTCAGTTTGCAAATTTGGAATTGTGCATGTTTTCTGTGTTATATTTAGTGTTTAATATTTTAATTATAATGATCTCTTATCTGGTGGTAAAGCACTGTGTATCAGTTCAAGGCTGTATTACTATATAAATTTTAGCTCTGAATATTTCTAGATCAGGTTTTGAATCATATTAATATTTTGTACCCTTCATCAGCTATATAAGTATGTGGATATATTTGCAAGATTAATTTTATTATGTTTTTAAATTTTGGTAACTTCTACATTAAGTTTTGTGTATGGACGTAATGTTTATGTAGCTCCTACCAAATACTTGATAGACCAGGTGGGGGTGTTGCCCTTCTACTTCGATTACTTTTAAAGTTTGGGTACATCACATAACTACCTAAACTGCTCTTGGAGTATAGTAGCATTGAGAAACTGCTGTTGGCAGTTATGTTCCTTGTGTATATTAAATATTCAGATTTAAGTTTCTCTTCCATGATTTTGGAGTGGTGAGAAATTTGTGCTTTAAACTTCAGTCTATTATTTGTTTTGTCTGTTGATCATGTTAAAGACTCTATTATAACCTATATTAAAAAATATAACATTGTATTGTATACCATTTGTTGGCATAACATAGAACATAGTTTTGCATCATAAAAATGGGTGTTTATTAAATGCGTAAACCCATTCATAATTCCTGTTCAGTTTTTATCATAATCTGTACTGAGGTATAAATGGCAAATTTTATAATTTTGGTGGTGATGTGAGGTATGCAAAAGTTCACTAACAAAAGTTTGAAATACTGAGTACAGTCAAATTCCATTTAATTTTCTTATGATGATAATATGTGGGATCATTAAACTAAAAAGAATGTTGAGTATAAGAATTTTGACACTGAGCTGAGTAGAAGGGACAGAAATTAATCACCGAGAAAAACATAATACGCGTTACATTGAGCTGAGTAGTAGATAATATTGTTCTCCAGTACAGCAACAATAGTAAAGCCACCTCCAAATGAAACAAGACTCATGAGGTGTCAACTATACTGGGATACATAGTTTCCAACAGCATTCTTTGCAAATTTGCATTTTGAATGCTTGCAGGTGACATGAAAAATTTAACAGATCCTGCATATACCACATTTAGCTAGAAATATCTTGCACATAAATATCACAATACAGGGGTTGATTTGGTTGAGTTTGGGTTAGTGATGTGCATTTGCTGAGGTAGTAGATTTGGTTCAGTCATGTTATGTCAATGATGGGCATGGGCAGAGGAATATGTAAAATGGCAGGTTGCTAAGGAAATACATTTGGTTAATTTCAGTTGGCAATGTTAGATTAATTTAGGATAAGTTAGCTTAGTGACGCACATGCAAACTGCTAATTGGTCTGGTTAGGTCAGGTTAATGACATGACGACTACCATGCACAGTGGTCAGAAGCTATGTGATAGGTTTTGTTGAGTTGGGTTTGTGACACGCAAACGACCATACACAATGATCAGCTGCCAAGTGGTGGGTTTGGTGGTATTTGGTTATGTTGTGTTATTTGGGGTTAAGTTAGAATGCAAATGCCCATGGGTTTTGTTCAGCTGCTGTGTGGTGGGTTAGGTTGAATTTTGTTATAATTTGATATGTTGGGTTAGGTTATTGACACTCATGTGCAGACGACTGTTCACACTGTAAATCTGCCATGCTGTTAGTTTCTATCTGGTCACGTTTGGTTAGGTTAGATTAGGCTACTTCAGTGACACTCATTCGCAGGATGGTCACATGCAAAGTGGTGGGTTTGTATGAATTTCGTTATGTTGTATTAGCTTTGGTTACTTGGTCCATTTTGGTAAGTGACGTACATTTGCCATGCGGAATGATCAGCTGACAAATGGTGTGCTTGGTTTAATTTCGTAATTTTAGGTTAGGTTACTCTAAGTTAGTGACGCTAAACTTATGTGATGAGTGCTTGAATTTCGTTGTGTCCTGTTTGGTTGGGTTAGTTTACATTAGGATAATTACGCGCATGCGCAGACTTTCACGCGCATTGACCTGATTTGGGTTGTGGAATTTGGGTGCGTTGTATTAGCTTGAGTTAGGTTAGTGACGCGCATGCGCAGACGGCCATGCGCAATGTACAGCTACTAATTGGTTTCTTAATTTGGGTATGTTGGGTTAGTAAGCGTTAGATTAGTAACATGCATGAACAATGTTGAGGTGCTAAATAGTGGGTTTGGTTGAATTTGGTTATGTTTTATAAGATTCGCGTAAAGTACGTTAGGTTAGTGACGCTTATGATCGGACGACAATTCGCAACGATCAGCTGTTAATTGGTGTTTCGTTGAATTTGTGTGTGTTGTGTTGGAGGTACTACTTTAGTGATGCGCATGCGCAGACATCCATGTTCAACGTTCACCTGCAAAGTGTTGAGTTTCATTGAATTTTGTTATGCTATGATAGGTTCGTTAAGGTTAGGTTGTGTTCGGTAAGTGACGCGCATGCACAATGACCAGCTGGAAACTGGTGGGTCTTTCTGAATATGATTATGTTGTTTAGGTTCGGTCAGGAAGGCTTGGACGACCAAGCGCAATGATAAACTTCTAAGTGTAGTTTTTTAAATTGTGTTATGTTAGGGTGGGTTTGGCTATGTAGGATTTGAGGTTTTCACGGCGGTGAGTCGGAAGGTGGCTATCTTATTCGTTGTTGCGCCGTGTAGTCAGGTAGAATATACCGACGTTTCAGAGGTCCTTGTTTTTATCAGGGCGATGAGTAAGCCGCGAAAGTGGAAACGGTTAGTTATAGGAAACTGACAGTCAAGGAAGAACCTTGGCCTAACCAGTCGGGACTGGTGTCAGAATCTAGCGAGGGCGCTGGAACCAATACGAGCGTGGGGGCATGCCACAGCGAGAGGGAGACGGAAAGAGAGGTTCGAAAAAGCGGTCCTTTTAAGGGACTCTGTGAGTCCGGCTGGTGGATCGCTGGAAGTCTTCAGTCCCAAGTTAATCTTCACAGGCCGAAGGAAACCAGGAATCTCCTTTGGAAGGCCTACAGACAACCTGGACAACAGCCTGCTGATGCGGATGAAAGTCGTTTTCACACAGGGCAGGAAGGCGATCGAGTTAGGTTCCTCAGGGGGTGGTGCCACGTTCGCTGGTGGGTTAAGAACCCGTCGAGTCTGTAGGTTGGTGTAGCCAAAGGAAGAAGTACGTACATACCGGAAGAGTCTCAAGATGTTTTCATCGATGTGCCGTCTCAGGAGTCGCAGTGCATCTCCGATGGGAACCATGGTGAAAAGCAAGTAGACATCGACGCTGACAGGGGCCAGCACGAAGGGACTTGATGGTATCGAATTCCGTGGCGTTCTTCAGTGCCGTGGAGAGTTTCCTACGAATTCACCGAGCTGCCTAACGAGATACTGGGCAAACGGTACGTTGGGGCGCCGATGGTGCTCGCGATGGGCATGAGGGGGCCTCCTTGTGGATCTTCCGAGAGCCCATACTGGAGGACGCTGCCTACTCAGCCCTGGGTAAAGGCCCGGACTATGCTGTGACCCCTACGGTGCTGCTCATCGAGGACTTACACAGCGGTGTGGAGGAGGTTGGTTCCCTGCCGGAGGAAGCGGCCGAGGAGGTTATTCAAGAGACCGCCCGCATCCTGAAATCCTTCAGGAAGCAGCACAACCTGTCCGGAGCAAAGATTTACGAACCCTGCGAAACTCACGGTTCTCCAGGGCAACGAGACAGTCGTCCTTAACACCACCGACTACAAGGGAAGTTTGCTACCCATTTAGGGGCTCCAATTTATAGTAGGCTAAGGTAGACTAGGCTAGATACCTCCCGACAGAGACCGGGTAATACAAGGACCGGTCTCTGTCGGACTGTTTCTAATGTACTCTGCACGGACCGGACTCTGCATGACACGACGCCGAACATCACGATGCCCTCAAGAGACGACAAATTTACTGCGGAAGACTCCTGATTGAATTGGAGACATACCAGAATACCGAGGCCGAGCGTCGCGGCGCCCGCCATTTCAACGCCACCGCAAGAACGATTCTAAGACAATTATAATAGTATCTGAAATAATTTTAGAAAATTTACGCCCGACGTCGCGACGCTTATACTTACGACACCTGCAAATAACATAATATTGACAGCAAAAAGTTCCCAGATGATATTAAATCCTCAAGTACAAGACCGACGCCGAGCGTCGCGACGCCTATTGACGCCATCAACAGACGCTAAAAGAGGCATTTAACTATCATATGACGTTCGAAATAATACCAGAAAGACGACGCCAAAGGTAGCGACGCTTTCGAAAAACGAAATTTTACCAAAGACGGCGCCCAACCTAACTTAACCTAACCTAACATAATCTGGGACATGGGACATGTGACTTCTCAAGACTTGCGACATACGACTTCTCAAGACTTGGGACATACGAATTCTCACGACTTGGGACATGCGACTTCTCAAGACTTGAGGCATGAAACTTCTCACAACTTGGGACTTGTTACTTCTCAAGACTTGGGACATGT